GACAAATGGAGTAAATGGAACAGGTATTTGTGTAGCTTTATTCGAATATTGACTACACCTTTTCAATAAACTTGTTTACATAATTAGTCCTTGATCATTATACCTGGTCTATTGTGTTTAACAATAAATGAAGAAAATATGCAAAACTGAAAAGGATAGAATTATACCGTCTTCGCACTCCACGAATATACGTAGAAATGTGTATTGTTGGTGGTCTAACCAATTGCAATAACATTGAAATGCAAATTGACTACAGAGGAGCCTTAAAGTGGGGAAATTTCCATTTCTTGCCGCTGAATCGGCAACAGAGAGCGTTAGTTTCGCGAAATAGAAAATAAAATCTATAGACCAGGCAACAGACAACGTTATCGCTTGTGTTGATAAATCCAACCAACAAAAATTGAGAGGGAACATAGAGGCGGCGCTTTCATTAAAAGTTACAAATTGTGGACCTTACCTATACCTACCACATGTAGGTACCTAATCAAATTTTTCTTTTATACAAATTATTAATTTACCTTTTGTGTAGGTTATTCTGTCAAGGTTTCCATGTAAAAAGGTTATTGATAACAAACTCAACGCCAAGATCTCGCCGGTGCGTTTGATTGCTGTGTTGTTATTTATAGTAGATAAATAAAAATTATCAAAGTCCTCGTGTGATATCGACGGGACTTCAGCGCATTTTTGTCTGGCAGATCAGTGTTTTATTAGCCATAGTATTGACTCCACCATCAATAAAATCTTGTCGAAGGTTACCACATTCACATTGTCGGTACCCGCTTTCCATTTCTCGCGTGCACCCGCAATTCGCGTTTGAAGTTTTGACTCCACCATCAGGAAGATCGTGTCGGGGGTTACCACATTCTCTTTGTCGGTATACAGTTCCGACGTCCCGTTCATTCGCAATTCGCATTTTGGTGGATTTCGCTAAGAAACCCGGCACAAAATAGTTCTCAATTTTTGGGTACTAAGTACTCATAGCTCGAGGTTCTAATGGCGACACGAGAAAGAGAAACCGCGATTCGAGATTTAAAAACTTTTGGGCCCCCAAAGTCGACTACCCCTCGAAGCGCGCCGTGCAAAAGGGGGTTTATTTCGCCCCTAGGAAAAAAATAGTAGATTACATACCGAGCTGGGAGGTGGTTCATTACCTACGCCGAGGGCTTAAGGTTATGAACCACTGACCAGCGAGGTTTGTATACTATTTTACTCACAATCGATCATTTAAGGTAAAGTATATAATTCAACAAGGTGTTACTTTAACTGTCAATAATAGTGACACCGCCAATGTAACCATTAATGTTTACAACAATAGCAAATAGTTCGTTCTTCTTCGTAATTTGCTATTGTTGTAAACATTAATGGTTACATTGGCGGTGTCACTATTAGTATAAGTTTCATATAAGGATAATATGAATAGCATTTGCAGGTAAGGAAAGTGACAGATGCTAGCCGGGAAAGTGACAGCTAGCCGGGAAAGTGACAGCTAGCCGGGAAAGTTACTTTCCCGGCTAAGGTGAGTAATGAGTCGCTTCGCAACCGCTATGAAGGTTAGGAATTCAGATAATACCTACTAACCGATTGTGAGTAAACATTATTTCTCTATGAACTGTTTAATGTTTCTATCACCGTTTGAAACACCATCTACCAGGAGGTTCAACACCATCCTTTGTTCGAAATGCACACTAAAAAACTGTCGTCAATAATAGATTATTAACTTTTTGAGGGTAAATACGTCTTTTTTATTAAACTACAATAAGGGTTGATTTTTAAGGGTTGAAATATCTCGAAATAATGTTCCAAAGCCTCTAACAATAATTACTCAACTCATCTGAGCCAAATTTTACCCGCATTAAGTTATAATATATATGTAGTTTTATGGGTTTTGGCAAAGAGGGGTAGCTAAAAAATGAAAAGCTCCCATTGCCATAATATAGATTTTGAAGTGGAGGGTAAGTTGAACTTAATCCGAAATTTTCATATATAATACCATAAGTAGTCGAAGTATTGTCGAATATTTTTGAGGTGCTGTCACGAATGCTAGTTACGCTGATTAATACCACGAGCGCTTGCGCGAGTGGTATTAAAAAGCGTAACTAGCATGAGTGGAGCAGCAGCTCAAAAATAATCTACAAATACTTCGACTACGAATGGTATTCGGAGGACTATTCAATGAATCAAAAGAAAAATTAAGCATAATTACCCACGCGAATGTATTTCCATGACAACAATAAACGTCAAAATAAATTATGGAAGTTGCTTTTCATTTTGCTATTGATTCTATTCGAACTTTTGTGCTCCAAGCTAATTCGTTATGAGTGATTAAATTAAAAGATGTGGTGATAAGTCGGTTGTCGAAATTGATTAACAAACTAAGAAGAATGTTCCGGTTAATACGACAAAATTTCGCGTCATTTCACTGGTGGAAGTTTGACAAATGTCATTGAATAATCGCATTGAATTGTCGCTGAAATACCACACGTGAAATTATC